GACCAAAGTGTCTTTATTAATGTTGTACTCGAGGATGATCAGTAAGTCATTCGCAAATAAAAAATAATACTTTAATAAAACTACATATATTGTTGTTGATTAAGTTTTACCATAAAACGTATAAGAGGAACAGGATTTTGGCAACCTTATGGAGTGAACTTGTGGATCAAATTCAACATCACTTGACTGAATCTACAGATAAACCTTTGATTGTTGTTTTCTAACATATGAAAGCTCAAAAATTTCGAGGTTTACCATTAATTACATGTATTTTTCAATTTTAGTTTATAAATATTATATAATTTCAGATTTATAATTATAGTAAATCTGCTCCACAGGTAATTACTCAGTGCGTAGCTGTTGGTATCAGACAAAGATATGGATTAATCCTACGCTGCCGCAATCAACTGAGTTTAAATCCAGGTTTGTCAAGTGTACAATTCTTTTCTATATTTACAAAAAATATAAAAACAGTATTGACAAATAACAATTTTCGACTTATGTAGATTCCTGGCAGTACGTCAATCAAACTTTGAGCGGATCACTCAGACAAGTTCACAACAAAGTTACTCTGTTAGAGATGAGTTAGACAAAGGAATTATACTGTTTAAAACTATTAGGGATTTAGTTCAGTGTACGCATGTGAGTTTAATTTAGTGTTACAATTTTATTTACCTTATGTTTTCTGTTTTGCATTTACAATGACAAAGGAATTGTACTGTTTAAATAATTATTTAGTTAAGTGCATGCAAATGAGTTTAATTTACTATAATATTATATGTACCTTATGTTTTGTTTTGCATTTACAATAATTTTTTCTTTATCTTAAATAGGAATGTAGCTATTGGATTGCGGCAAAATTGGTGAATTTGAAACTTGACCGAGGATGGTCATACTTGGCATGCAACAAGTGTACTAAAAAGGTTGACAAAGTTGGTACTACATACNATAGGCTTCAAGTTCGTGTTATGGATGGAACCGCTTTTATCTCATTATTGCTTTGGAATCGCGACGCTATGCAGCTTATAGGGAAGTCCGCAAAAGAACTTAAAGAAGGATTAGTTGAGGTACAATACTAAACTTAATTTAGTTGTCAATTATAATATTTCTAACCTCGGAAATTTGGTGTAGACCTCAATTGGGGATGCTGATTGTTCTTATCCAACTGAACTGGACGATATTCTTTATAAAAAATTCATGTTCAATGTTATTGTTAAGAAAGAGAATATTGCGAAGGTGAATTTTTTTACCTTTTCTTAAATACTCAAAGTACCTCAGTCATGTTCAGAAGTAGTAAACACATTAGTCTACAAATTGCTATTTTGGAGGATACTCATTAAAGTAGGAAGATACTGTTATTTTTTAACATGTCTGAGTATGAGTCATGAAGATAGAATTTAGGTGCCAATTGTACAACTGTTATTGAGGAGTAGGAAAGAAATGCTTTTATTATAAAATGCAACGTCAATATATGAAAAGAAAGGAAACTGACTGAATCCATTCTCGGTGAGGAAATTGAAAGTGTGGTTTAATTTGTCTTTTGGTTTATTTTTTTATTTTTTTAATACGGTCGATAAATTTAGTCTGCAATATACATACGTTTCTAATATTTCTTCCGCATTACTCAAATGTCTAAGATGTTTTCATATACTCATATTTTGAGTGCTAATCGATCTACTCATTTTTTTTGTTTGTCTTTTACTGTTGTGATACAACAAGATTCTTTCTCAATATGCTAACTCCTAAGTTCTACTACTTAATTATTTGATTCTGTTCTTTTTTACTTTGATAGGAAATGTATGATCAAAGTCACTAATACATTGTTGATGACTTCTCCAATTAATGTTCGAATTGTTAATTTGTTCTCACGGCTGGGAAAATTTGTTATTTGGTTATCTGATCGAAATGAGGAGCAAGGGAGAAAAGATTATTCATCATGTAGCTCTGCAGTTTGGTGGTAGTGTAATTACTTGTTATCAAATATTGTTATTTTCATATCAACAAAAGTAATTACCTGTGTCATTATCTCTTTAGTATTGGCATTTTTATTTTTGCGTTAAACCATTGATTAGAGGTGCAATATGTTTGTTGATTATTACTTGGTTACTTAAGAGAATTGTAGTGTCCTATTATGGACTTGAGTATTTCTCGAGGGATGATTTTTTCAGGCTATTGTTTAGCCATTATATTTGCTATTGCACATGTTCTATTTGTTGCGTGTGGCCTACTTTGAAGGATGAGAATTTATCAAGATTAAAGTCACTATGTGGTTTCTGTTGGAGCTACTTAAAATAATATTTTGTGCAAGTTGGTGCACCCATATTAACCTTCGTTCGAGACAGGAGCTGAAATAAGATTTTAACCAAATGTGATGTCCTTTGTGTTTCTACTTGAGTCAAAAGTTTATGCATTTTCATGTGGACTAATCCTTTTAAAGCCAAATATTGACGTATCATTTCTCAGGTATGTTAAAATAGCTTTTGAGGATTGATGGTCCCTAACAACAAATTCATAGACATAACCCGATAGAATTCACCTATTTTTCTTTTCATTTAATTTTTTTTATTGCAGTCATTAAATATAGTCTGTAATATATATTTCTTTTTAATATTTTTCTATGCTCTTTTTTGTTTAAAATGATCCGCGCATCAAGCGGGTAAATATACTAGTGAGAGAGAATCTGAATAACCAAGAGTTTCTGAACTTGAAGGAGTCTTGTTACTGTTGTATGTAGCTGGAGAGCTACACGTGTATTACACGTGTTTAATCAGGAAGGAGAAGGGCCAAACATTATAGTACACTTTATTTTGATTTTGGTACAACTCTTAATTGCAGTGTTCGTACACCCTCTTCTCATGTTCGGTTCAGTAAACTTATTTATTATTCAAGCTCATTTGAGACACTTAGGTGTGTCCAAGTCCAATAATGAAGCATCAACTGTTTAATATTGAAGTTGTCAACCAAAAACAAATATGAATTTTTACCTCCTATAGCAAAGGTTAACACCTTATTTATTTTAAATAAATACCATTTAAAAAATTATATTCTATAGATACCTTTTAATGTTTATAGCAAAATATCTAATTTTGATTATCACTTATCCCTAAGCCACTAAATACGCTATTCAGTTACACTATTTTCTTTCTCTCTCTACTTTGATACATGTCATTCTCTTCCCTCATTCCCTAAAAACACAACTGAGGGCTCCGCTCGCCGCCATCTTCCTCTGTTTCTGTTTGTCAAGTCTCCATAATGCTCTCTCGTTTCATCTCCAAATCCTCACACCTCCGACTCTTAACCCTGCTTCCTTCCAAAACCCACTTATTAAACCCTAAACCCATTTCCACTATATCCTCTTTACCCATTCCCAAGCCATGTTTCTTCTCCAACAACTCCCATTTCCTCTCCACAGGTAACAACAACAATGGCAAAGATTCAGAGCCATCATCTTCTGATTTGTGGAAACTTTCTTCTGAAACTGATCAATCACTGTTCAATGAAGACATAGAAAGTGTTGAGGGTATACAAACGCATGTTCTTGATGATGGGTCTTGGGCTAAACAAGAACAAAAAGAGAGTGGTGATGTGTTTAAAGAAAATAAGGGTGTTGGTGGAGGTGGGGAGGATGAGATTCGTCGGAAATTAGGGTTTGTTCTTGAACAAAGACGTCGGAGTTTGGGGCTGAGCAACTTGATTTTCTGTTAATATATTTCAGTGTATTTTCAACGTATCACGCTGTATTTTCATATATTTCATTGTCTTTTTTTATGTAATTCAATGTATCTCGCTGTATTCCATGTATTTCATTGTATGCACTGTCTTTTTTTCATTGTATTTCAATGTATCCCGCTGTATTCTATGTATTTCATTGTATTCACTGTCTCGCTATATGCCGTGAATGTATTCATATATTTTTTTAATTAATATAATTTATGTATTCAGATATATTATATAATTTCTCTGAAGATTTCTATGTTTTTGGGGTATTTTTCGGTTGAGAATCTTTTTTATACAAGGAAATACAAAATTTATGTGTTATAATTGAGTTTGTTGAGTCTATTAGGAGTCTATTATGTTAATTGATTCACTTTCCGTTCAAAAACAGTGTAATCCCCCGTTTCACGCTGTGAATACAGTCGAATACAATAATCTGTCCAGCTGTAATCCCATATTTCACGCCATGAATACAGTCGAATACACTCGAATACAACAAATGATTAGCTGGACTTCCCTGATTCACGCCTATTTTGCTATTGTATTCATGAATACAGTAGCTTAAATACATCTAATACATCTTATAACAAGAGAAAACGTATCTACAATCCGTAATATAGCAAATAGTATCTATAGATGGCTAATTACTACTAAAAGATAGTGCTTTACGAAAATTTCTCAAAAAAAATGAGGCAAACCAAGCGTCGGCTTATAGCCTGTTTGGCGAAGATGCAAAAATCAGCTTATTTTGATAAGTACTTTTTTTTTAAAGTATTTTTCTCAAAAGTATTTTGGTGAGAAGCAGTTTGTATTTGGCTAATTAATTTGACAAGCACTTCCGAGCAGCAATTAGTATTTGACCAAGCTTTAAAAACTACTTCTAAGTGTATTTTTCTGAAAAGTGCTTTTGAAGAGAAGCTATTTTTTTTTGCTTCTCCAAAACTGTTTCTGCTTTTTTTCAAAAACACTTTTTTTTTCTTCCAAAAGCTTGGTCAAACACATTAATTTTAGAAAAAAAATACTTTTTAAAAAATAAAGTACTTTTAGAATTGGAAAAGTTTGGCAAACAGGCTATTAGTTGGAAATTGGGACAAGATTAGTTTGGCTTCATCCATTGACAATTTCAGTATTACTTATGATTTACGAAGGATAATTAAATATACCAACCTTTATTGCAAGATCAACTATATCTAATAGGAGTAGTTTTTAATCCAAAATTCATGGCACGTTATTCTGATTGACCAAAAATAATATACATCACAATATCAAATGGCAAAACTAAGAAGTTAGATAGAATTGTCTGATTACAATAAATGCTGATTTTTGAACGATTCCAAGCTCAAAATCGGAGTAGATGAAACTTAGCTGGAGTTGATGTTAATCATGTAGAGAGAAAACTCAGTTTTTACCTAATATATACAAGCACTTGTGTCATCATGTATTTTCTATAACAAGCAAGTTTTTAGTGGAACCGATTTTCTATGATATTATTTTTTGTAATAATTTTTTATTTATAACAGCAATACTCATCATTATAACTGTATACTCTTTGTAAAATTATATCTTTATGATAACTCTACTCAAATATTTGTATATTTATTATTTTCTAACCAAAAAACAATGTAATAATTATATTTTATTGGAAACATAACTTTTATAAATTTCAATGACGATGTGGAACGTCAAAAACTCTTGTGAACTTAGAACACGAGAAAGTAAAAGATGAAGGTGGGGAGTTTTTGTGTTCTGCCATTAAAATATATGCTTTAGAATTTGAATCTTTGTACATATGACTAGTTATGAATATATTAATATTGTATTATCTTTTTTTAAAAAAAATAATTAATAAAATATGAATATATTTTGAAATATATAAGAGCAGAACATTAATTATTGCGAATTATTAAAAGTTCAAAAAATTCGACTGGGGATGTCTAAATGGTTGAGTCCATTACTCAAATGGTTACTCAACTATCCCAAATTATCTACTAAAGTTATTTCTCTTTCGTTTGTAACAGCAAAGTCACTTAACTATGTCTATAGCACTGAGTAGATTACTCAACTAGATTTCGCAAACTTTGGAATGCCCAATTCCTATTTTACCCTCTAAATTATAAACATTTGCCTTTCTTTTTAACTTTTTAATATTATTATTTTTTCTTTTTTAATTTATATTATGGACTTGCCTATAGAATAAATAAATTTTATTTATAAATTAAAAAAATAAAAAGTATTTAAGCATATATAATGCTGGAATAATAAAATATTGAGCATAGTAAACAAATTAATTAGAATAATTTGTTTGTAATAATAATTTTGATATTAACAACAAATATTAAATAATTTATTTTACACAATTAAGAACGAAAGGAAATAAAAGTTGTAAAATATACATTCCATTCACGTAATATAAAAATATTTATTTAAATAAAGATTTTTTTATAATATACACTATATATTCTTAAAAATTATGCTCAATTATATTATTATTCTGACATTATATAAGATAGAAAACTAATTTTTATTTTTTATTTTATAAATAAAATATATTTATTCTATTGGTAAGTCCATAATGTAGATTAAAAAGAGAAATAATGATTATATTTAAAAAGTAAAAAAAGAAGAAGATAAAACTTGATAATTTAGAGGGTAAAATAGGTACTTGACAATCAAAAGTTTGAGAAATCTAGTTAAGTGATCTTCTGAGTGATATAGCATAGTTAAATGACTTTGAAATTACAAACGAAAGAAAGATGACTTTAGTAGATAATTTGGAATAGTTGAGTGATCATTTAAGTAATAGACTGCTACTTGGTCACTAATTATGATAGAAGAACTTTCCGCGCCCAGCCACCATTTTCAATGGTGAAAGTTATGATCTGATCCATTAAAAGTGGGGCTTTCCGATGTCAAATAAATCAGATTCGAAAAAACATCAAGAAGAAAGAAAAATATAATCAGAGTTCAATCCTGAAACTCAATGTCAAAATAAAAGAAAAATCACTACAACTTCAAGAAAAATTACTCTTCTCTTCAAAGCATTTGCTAGCATTTTGTAAAACCAGAAACAATGGGTGTGATTGGACCCCATAAATGTAATGAAATTAACTGTCCCTTTTGCCTTTTTGTTTTGTTTGGCTGACGAAAGTTACGCTCAAATTCATATTTGGATGTGATATATTTTGACCTGGATTGTTGACAATTTTATTCTCTCTCTTAAATTAGAAGGAACATACACAAGAAAAAAAATAGTGAAGAAAAAATAAAAGAAGCTTAACTTCATTAATGGAGTAGAACAGAGGGAGGAGGGCAAGGGGAATGGAACAGTAAAATGGAAATAGAACTAATTAGGAAGAAGATAAGGAAAAATTGGTTGGACGGGAATAATGAGAAAAGAAAGGGGGAATGGGAAGAACGACA